GCTTGCGGGGTTGCAAGTTCGAATGCTTTTTCTAGATCAAGGAAGATCACTATAGTTGGACCCGAGTTAACTGTTCCTAGTAATGTTGCTATGCAGTTTGCAGTACCTACTCCTCTAGTGAAGCCAAATATGTGTTTATTAAGGTCTCCAGTCTTCCACAGTAGTCTATTTAAGACCATCCGTTCTGCAGTTTTACTAATGCATGATGTTAATGAAATGGGTCTGTAATTGCCAGGTTCTTTCGGCTTAGGAATCGGTATGATGTCTGCTTGCTTCCGAGAGGTTGGTAGTTTGCCTTGCTGCAAGATGCACTGATGACGTCCAATATTCCTTGTTCTCCAGCAGGACCTGCATGTGCGACCATTGAGTATGTAATGTTATCAGCACCTGGTGCAGTGTCCTTACCACCTTTTTTGGCTCTGATTAGTTCTTGTTTGGTGAAGGGACAGTCACATTCGTCATTTATAGCTATGCCCTCATGAATGACTGTCAACCTCTCTTGTTTTAATTGTTCTTGCTGCCTTCGGACCATTGCAGGAAGCTGATATGAAGCTGTTCTTTCTGCAAATTGGAGAGCAAGTCTCTCAGCCTCCTGCAATGGTTGAATACATGCCTGTGGTCGGGCTGGTCGACCTGATATAATCTGACCCCATATCTTGCCAAGACTACTATGTTCATTTAGAGTTTGACACCACTCAAACCATCTTGCCTCCTTTACTTCTCGAGAAACTCGCCTTGCTTCAGATATCACCGCTCGTAGCAGAGTTCTTCCTTCTGGTGTGGGGTTTCTCTTTAGATGTTTTCTGAAGATGTTGACTCTGTGGTTCTGTTCTTTAACGTCATTACTATAGAACCAATAGTTCTTTCGTTTTATGTTTCCTGTGATAATGATTGGAATAGCTTTGTTTGCAGCAGCTGCAATGGCTTCCTGCAGATTGGTCTCGTGTATGTTCAAATCCTCAGGTGGCGTGTATGTTGCATACCATTTTTCAAGTTCTTCTTGGTATATATTCCAATTGGCCTTTCTTAAATTCCACCTAGGTTGTGTAGGTGGTGTAGGAGGACGTTCTATGTTTAGTGTTGTGACAGTAGCATAGTGGTCACTGGTGATCACCGGGTCTACTTCCCACTTCGCCTGATGCTTGAGTGCTGTTGAGATTAATGTAAGATCAAGGGAACCCCCTAGAATGTGAGTGGGTTCCCCAGTGTTGAGAAGTGTAATTTCAGGTACTTCTCGCAGAGCTGCAGCTAAATGGCGCCCATCTACATTGGCTGGCCCAGTTGCACCTAACTCTGGATGATGAGCATTAAAATCCCCAGCAATAATTACATTTTCCTGCGTGGCCAAGGCAAGCACTGCCTCTGCTTCTAGTTTACGTCTAGGGGGCTTGTAGACGTTGTATATGAGGAGCTCAAAATTAGCCATATTCACTATTACTGCTAATACCTCTACTCCATCCCCACATGAAACTGGGTCTATTTTCTTGCTGGGTATGGTGTTCCTGACTAGGGTCATTAATCCTCTTTGTCTCCCCTGCTCATACAGTAGAACATAGTGCTGATATCCAGCTAATCTGAAGGATTTCGTGGCTGGAAAAAGAGTTTCTTCCAAAACGATTATATCTGCTTTCTTACTGATTGCAGCCTCCTGAAGTGTGTGGTTTTTATTTCCAAGACCTTGTATGTTCCACTGCAGTATTCGTAATGGCTAGACGACGGTGTCGGTTGGTGTTGCCTGTTCTACCAGAACTCTTCTTCGGGATCGACCTCTATATTCTCCACCTCGCAAGTCGTGTCGCTGCATGTCGGACTGCACTGATTGTTCGTGGTCATCCCCGACGTTGTTGGAATCTGTGCATAACTGTGGTCCATCACTTTGTTGTTGGCATTGCTGCATGTCGGACTGCATTGATTGCTCGTGGCTGTTTCTTGTGTTGTTGGAACCTGTGCATCTCTGCTGTTCAATACGTCTTTGTTGGGGTTGTTGCATATTAGACTGCATTGGCTGTTGTTGTCTGACTCTTGTGTTGTAAGATTCTGTTGATCTTGGGTGGTCACTGCTTCTTACAGTTGCTGTTGTAAATGTTGATGTTCTGGTGTCTTGACTACCCGACTGTTGTTGGTAGTCTGTATGTCCATGTTGCGTTGTTTGTCCTCTTGTGCTCCGTCTTGTCTCAGACTGTCTACTTCTTGTGTAACTGTGGTCTGCTGCACGATCTTCTCCATTATCACACAAGTGATTTCTTGAGTCTGTTGTTGTGAGGCGTTCTGCGTCACCTGTAGGCAATTGATAATGGTCTCTGCCATGATCTTCACGATGTTTTTCAGCTGGACCTCGGGGGTAAAACTGTATATCTGTTGTGTTGATTCCGAAAGTAATTGTTTTTTGCTCTTTTGCATTTGCTGTATTTCTGCAGCACGTTTGTGTATTTTCTGATTTGGAATTAATATATTCGGGAAATTTTGCTCTGTGAGAGTGAGTGTGTGTTGTGGCTGTGCACGAGTGTTCCAGACGTTGGTGTTGGTGTATGTGGTGCTGGTCTGTGTTTATCCTGGCCTGAGCTGTCTGCATCTTTTCTTTCCGTGCAGAGCAGGTTGTGCGCCAGGCATGATGTTTGGCTCCACAATTTGGACATTTGGCTGTTGTGGCCTGGTTTGCCTTGTGCTTGGCTATACAGTCTTTGGTTGGATGTCTCAGGCTGCACACTCCGCATCTCTCCTGTCCGGTGCAGTGTGATTGATGGTGGCCGTATTTCTGACACCTGAAGCAGCGCAGGGGTTCTGGGACGTATGGTCTCTGTCGGTATGTTCCCCAATTTCCAAGACTGAATGTTTCTGGCACATGTCCCATGACGGTCACCAGAACCTGACGTGTCGCTGCCTTGTCTACTTTTGTGCGGCATCGTTCCGCATTCAGGATTTGCTTGTGTTCTAGTACTGGATCCAGGGGAAAGTCGATTGGGTATCCCAAAAGCAGGACTCGTGTGCGTCTTTCTGAAGGGTCCAGCTTTTCCAAGCATACAGGTTTCCCTTGCAGGACTCTTACTTTTTCTAAGTAATTTGCAGTCTGTTGGGCTTGTGGTGGTGTTATTATTTATACTTTCAGGTTGACTGTAATGGAAAGTTTGAGCTCTGATTGTTCTTTTTCCATTCCCGTTTCTACTCCATATGCTGTAGGAAAGTGGTCGGTCTGCATTATCTTGAATTTTGGAAGCTGTGCAGTCTGGCGATGTCTGGTGTGAGGCTGATGGTGTCCTCTCCTGTCTCATACTGTTGTCCTGTGGCTGGGCTGTTGTCCTGTGGCTGGGCTGTGGAGAGAGGTACAGTGTCTAACACTGGCTGGTGTGTGACTGGTGCTGTCCTCTCCTGTCTCATACTGTTGTCCTGTGGCTGGGCTGTGGAGAGAGGTACAGTGTCTAACACTGGCTGGTGTGAGACTGGTGCTGTCCTCTCCTGTCTCATACTGTTGTCCTGTGGCTGGGCTGTGGAGAGAGGTGCAGTGTCTAACACTGGCTGGTGTGAGACTGGTGGTGTCCTCTCCTGTCTCATACTGTTGTCCTGTGGCTGTGTTGTGGACAGAGAAGCATTGTCTGACACTGGCTGGTGAGAGACTGATGCTATCCTCTCTAGGTCCATTACGTCTGCTGTCTTGCTGGTAGAAGCAAGTGGTGAAGCCTCGATAGCAGTTTTCTTCGGTGCCTGCTGCACATCGGTCCACCGTCCCTCCTCGTCTGAAAGCTGCCTCCATTGCCTCTTTCTCTTAGCCTTCCCCATGACTCTCTCCACGTAGTGAGGACCGAATCACTGCCCTACCTAATGCCTGAGACACTCCTAGGCCTGGAGAAATTCATTCCCCTCCAACGGAGGTCGTAGAATGATTCCCCCGGATGGAATCAGGGATACCTAACACCTAAATGAGTTGTTTGGTCTACCTTTCCCTGTCAGGCTCAGTACACCTTCTAAGGTGCCCCCTTGTGGCGCTGCCCGCAGGGTATCGCCTCGCCCTTCAGGGTAGGACTCTAAGTGACCTGGTCAGTGATACGGTCCGGTACGAGAGTTTGGGTCGCCTGCGTACTGGGTTGCGCAGAATACCAGTCAGCTGGGCAGCAGGTAATCAACAACGATGTTTCTCCGTCTATTGTAGACGAAATCGGAATTGTTTCCTTCAAAACAAGATATTGTCTGGGTCTTGGAGTACTGATGTATTCTTCCCCATAAAACCGCGATGAATGGAGCTGATGGGTGCTCAGAATCGTGAGTTTTTTCCGGGAACAAATCCGTGTGCGGCCAGCTAGCAATGGCGCCGGCAGCGAGTCATTTGCTTACTGTAGGTAATGCATGCACATGACTGTAAAGCTGCCGCCCAGTTGGGTGGGTGTGGAGCACATGACTGTAAAGCTGCCGCCCAGTTGGGTGGGTGTGGAGCACATGACTGTAAAGCTGCCGCCCAGTTGGGTGGGTGTGGAGCACATGACTGTAAAGCTGCCGCCCAGTTGGGTGGGTGTGGAGCACATGACTGTAAAGCTGCCGCCCAGTTGGGTGGGTGTGGAGCAAGACTAGTAACTGTGTGACTCACCATAGATGTAAAGTGCCTTGTATAGTGACTGTTGTGAGCCTCTTGTTGATCACTTGTGACACAAAAGATTATTGATGTGTGTATTTGTGCGGGTGAATAGATATGTATGAGTATGTATATATGTATACGTATATATATATATACATGTACATGTATGTATGAGAATGTGTGCATGTATATATAACATTAATAATTTTGTAACTAGCGTCAAAAATTGTTATTTGCTTAGCTAAACGAACTAGAGGGTTCAGTTCCTCAAATCCTTTACACCACCGCCCACGGGATGGGTATGGGGTGCATAATAAAGAAAGAAATATGTAAGAAAATTTGACATACTACACAAAGATTAGATTAATACTAAATTTGATACAATAAAGATTTGATTAATACTAAAGTATTAAGATTAATACTAGATTTAATACAATATGTTAATCTAGCGGTCGTAAAATGTCACAATTTGGTGTTGGCAACTGAGCGATTACCGCGTGACATTCAAGATAAACAGAAGACATGAGAGGCTCCCCAGCTTCAGTAGCACCAGTGCACCAGCGACGAACCCTCACTTTACATCTATGGTGAGTCATAGTCATGTTACTAGTCTTTGCTGCATAGTTACTAGTCTTGCTGCACACCCACCCAAGGAAATGTATATATTTATCTCTCAGAATGTTCGGTAATATGTTTATTGTTTGTGATGTGTGTCTATGTATGTATTAACACGATGTACTGAACGGGGTGAGAATGAGCTACCTCATCCCTTTGTGTGTATTTTACCTTAATAAACTTATTTCAATTTCAACCGTCATTCTGGTGAGCGTACAGTTTAACCGTCGTTTTTATTAGGCTTTCTTGCATAGACTATAGTTATAGTGTTGTGCAGTAGGTATAGGTCGTCACTGTATATATTCAAATATATGTGGAGAATTAAATGGTTATTCTTGTGTCTGGCCTTTTGGACCCTTTTTGGACCCTCATTATGTTCTGTCAGTCACCATCTTTCTTTGCACAGTCTTGTAAAATCAACACAACATGGGTTTAGTAAAAATAGATCCTGCCTTACAAACTTGCTCACATTTTTGGAAACAGTAACCAGCTACTCAAAGGACTTCAGCAGTATGTAAAAAAAAAAAACGTGCATCTACCGGTAGATGTAGTATACATGGATTTTGCTAAAGCATTTCGGTTACAAGTATCTCTGGGAATTTTCATTATCTGCCGATGTAGACCTGACCAAATGTAAACTGTATCAACAAAATTATTCGCACACCCTCCGTCACTATGTGATGGAGTGCGAAAAGATACGTGAATTTAGAGACAATTCTATAACCAATGTTCCAACGATGTGTACATATTTCATTTAAAATGATCTGCTACCAGAAATTTTAGCCAAATATCCCCAGTTTGCTAAATGTAGGTAGCATCTGAGTGATTATAACCTATCCACCGCTGTCCATTGGATGGGGGCGGAGTGTAGGTAAACATATCAATTGTGACACTAGCTCTCCCCATATATCAGTTGCTTAAAATATAAACTGTACTTGTGGTCGGTCTCGAGCCCATTGCTGATGTGACGATGTGCATATAATTTTGTAACTAGATCATCAAGATTGTAACTTGCTTAGCTAAATGAATTGTGGGGTTCAGTCCCTGAGCCCATTGGCAAATGAATTTAATAGCTTCTTTTCATCGGTTGGTGCTAACCTTGCCAGAAAAATCCCACAGACTCAGACACATATTAACACATATCTCTCAGGCAGCTATCCAAACTCTCTTCTCCTCTCACCAGTCAGCCCGACAGATGTTGTGTCCATCATACACTCACTAAAAACCAAAGCTGGGAACATCAGTGAAATCCCATCCATTGTATACCAAAGCGCCTCCCATGCCCTTGCGCCACCTATAGCTCTGCTGTTCAACAAATCCCTAGAGTGTCATACCTTCCCTGATATCCTTAAAAAAGCAAGAGTAACGCCAGTTCATAAAAGAGGTAATCCGTCAGACATAAACAATTAGACCAATATCAAACCTACCCATACTATCAAAAATATTTGAAAAAATTATCTACAAACAGCTCTACTCCTATCTCGTAAAATTCGACATTCTTAGCCCCTGTCAGTTTGGCTTCTGCTCCCAAAAGAGTACCAACGATGCAATTATTAGTCTCCTTGATATAATTTATTCAGCCCTTGACAAAAATGTGTTTCCGATTGGACTCTTCATTGACCTGAGAAAGGCCTTTGATACTGTTAATCACAACTACCTCTTACGTAAACTCCATCATTATGGAATCCGAGGCCATGCACTGGACTATATCCAATCCTATCTTAGTGATAGACACCAATGTGTAGCCATCAATGATATAACCTCTCCCACTCTACCAATAACCGTTGGAGTGCCACAGGGCAGCATCTTGGGACCTCTCCTATTTCTTATATACATCAATGATCTGCCTAATGTCTCTAACATTCTGAAACCTATATTGTTTGCTGATGATACTACTCTCATCTACTCTAACCCCAACCCACATACACTAAATAATGTTGTTAATAATGAACTAAAAAAAGTCCACTTATGGATGTCAATCAACAAACTAACACTTAACATAGAAAAGACCGACTACATCTTATTTGGAAGCAAATCTACAAAGGCAATTCAGCTTCAGAGACAATGTAAACATTAGTATTAAAATTGATGGTAAGTTTCTTGGCCTATTCCTAGACAAGAGACTCAACTTCAGCACCCACATACAACACATAACTAAGAAAGTCTAAAACAGTTGGTATACTCTCCAAAATCAGATATTATGTTCCAAACTCTGCTCTCATCTGTCTATATTATGCACTAATTTATCCTTATCTTAATTATGGTATCTGTGCATGGGGTTCAACCTCTGCAAACCACCTCAAGTCCATCATCACCCAGCAAAAATCTGCTATCAGACTAATAACAAATTCTGTTTTCAGACAACACTCAGCCCCCTTGTTTAACTCTCTAAACATAATCTCACTCCACAAATTCTCTTGTGTCAACTACATTTACAAAACCCTGTTCTTAAATGCAAATCCTTCTCTGAAACTCTCCCTGGACAGATGTAATAGGACCCATTATCACCACACCAGAAATAAATATCTCTTTGATATCCCCAGAGTCAAACTTAATCTGTGTAAACACTATGCAAATAAAGGGACCCAGTCTATGGAACTCACTCCCTATTGAATTGAAAAGCTGTCAAACCTTTGCGTCATTAAAAAAAAACTAAAAAGTACCTAATTTTATCTTCATAGTTTTTTACCTTGTTGCCTTAAAATTGCTCTGTATTAATTGCTACCCAATCTCCCAATCTTTATGTACCCAATCCGAACATCTTTACCATTGTGTTCATTGCTGTCTTATATGTGCTATCAATCTGCTGTCTGGTGTCTATTAATCTTGTTTAAATTACCAATCAAGCTGTCAATATAATCAATCAGAGCTTTCATATACCAATGTGCTTTAATATACTTGCTAATCTCTCTCATCTCATTTTTTTCTTGCAATGTATCTTATCATTTTATTAATTCTGCTAGAATTACCTACTTAAAATTATCTGTTAGATTAAGGACCTGTCCGAAACGCTGCGCGTACTAGTGGCTTTACAAGATTGTAAATACTATGCTATGTATTCTCACAAACCCAATGTTCCTTCCTGTATATAAATAAATTAAATAAGTCAGCCCCCACTTTCCTTGACTGTAAATCATGTTCTCCACCATTACGAACCTTCTTAGTGAGAATATAATACCATGTAAACTGTAATCCAGCCAAGTTGAAAGTTTTAGGTCATCTTCCAAAGTTTAGGGTGCAGGGATAGAACAATTGAGACCTCTGAATGTATTAGTCAAGTTAATGCAAAGTCCTCATGTGTTCTGGGGCAACTGTCGATAATTCATGCCAATTTGAATGCATCAGGCACTGAACCAGATTAATCACTCTTATAAATTGAATACAGATTTCTATATCCTGCTTCTTTGATGACAATATTAACCTCTCTAAATTAATACTCCTTCTTGGGGCATAACACAGCTGCTGGAGCGAGTAGAGATCCCAAATTAAACACTAGTGTAGAGACAGCTTGGCGCCACATCCCGACGTCACGATATGCAGAAGGGCTTTGAAGGCCAGTGGCTCCGGCCGGCGTCCCCTATGGAGAGGAACTGCGAGGTGGGCCACCAGGATGGCAACTTCCTTCTCTGCTACTATATGAGTCTTAGCACTCCGGAGCCTCTCCAGGAGGGACACGTCAGGCTGGCTCTCACACACCTCTACAGGTACATGTGTGGTGTTGTTTATGCAGACAGGTGTTGTGTGTACATATACCGGTATAAATGTCTAGTGCATCGACAGCATGTCGGCCATACGTGTTCCTGAAGGTATATATTGATTGTCTCAGGAAAGTGAGGTGCCTCCAGGTGTGCATTGCAGAACGAGACGGGGTGATGTGGCTGAAAGAGGCGTCCAACCCTGACATAGACTTCCAGGTGAGAACACTGCGTCAACCCATCTTGTTGGACTAGTAGTTTGTCGCTGTCTCTTCTCTCTTGTTGGACTCCTATTCGTTTCCTTTCTTGCTCTCTCTTTCACGTGTGACAATGTTGCATTAAATAAATATAGAGCATCATTATATGGGTTCTATACACTAATGGATGTGTGCGTTGCAACCCGTTCTCCCTTCAACAGTGTGTTATGATACTAAATTATAATTCAACAGTCCCCGTGGTGTAGTGGTAAGACACTAACCTGGCGTTTCGACACTGGGTTCGTATCCTGGCCGGGGAAGGATTTACAGGGCGTCAATCCTTAACTGTTGCCTCTGTTCACCCAACAGTGAATGGCTACCTGGTTGTTAAACGATTTGGCGGGTCGTATTCCAGGGAACATAGGATTAAGGACCTGCCCGAAACGCGAAACGCTACGCGTGCTAGTGGCTGTTCAAGAATGTAAGATTGACAGATTGATACAGATTAAGCCACCCAAGAGGTGGCACGGGCATGAATAGCCCGTAAGTGGTGGCCCTTTTGAGCTGTGGAGGTGCGACTGCACCCTGCGTGACGGGAGATGTCTCCCACGAAGAACGTAAAAACTCTTGTATATTTAAATACAAATATTTACATACAAATAGACATAGTACATTAATGAACTGAACCGTTAGTATATTAATACACTAGTTACCACCCATACATTTCCATCCCCAAATAACCTCCTGAAACGATGGATTTGTTTTCTTTAATGTAACTGGAAGAGGTGGAACAGCCTGTTGACATAGCTCGGGTGCTATGTCACCCGAGGTAGGGGGGGGAATTGCGTAACCCTGGTTTGTGTCTCGGAGAGGCTGCAGGATCCGTTGGTAAATCAGGAGGATTTCCCGGTTGCAATTCTTTTAACCATGTCGTAGCTCAGTCGATTAAGGCAGCGTCTGGGATGCTCTCGGACGCAGGTTCGAATCCTCGTCACGGCCCTTGTGGATTTGTTCATTTGATGCATCACACTATTGTGATTTCTGTGTAGCTGCTATTTTTTTTTAATTTTGCGTATACTAAAGTCAGGACAGTTTTGAATATTTCAATATACATGTCCTACAGAATTTGGGCCTAGATAATCCATTCTTTCTTGTAAAGCACACACACACTTCAGGAAATTAGGTCCTGCAGAGGAGCAATCACTCAAAAGAAAAAAAAAGCACGAATTAACGATTTATGATGTATGTAAACAAATTAGTACACATTCTCCAATACTATATATATGTGAGTGCTCTGTAAGAAATGGTGTGAGATACTTATAGCTCTCTAACTACCTCAGGCACTCAACAATATTGGAGGAGTGTTGAGGGTGTTTAAGAAACATAAGAACAAATGCAACTGCAGAAGGCCTATTGGCCCATACGAGGCAGCTCCTATTTATAACCCCCCAAACCCACTTATATACATGTCCAACCCGCGCTTGAAACAATCAAGGGACCCCACCTCCACCACGTTACGCGGTGGAGGTGGGATCATTACATTAAACAACAAGCCCCAACATTCACCACCAAGTACTCACATCAAGTCTATCAATATTAGCACTACCCTCGAAGTCTGGACTTTTGAAATTAAAAAAAAATGGACACTACATGAAAGTGGACTTTGGACCCCCCCAGGACCAATGGAGAGGGGGACCACGGCGCCCCCCAGGACCAATGGAGAGGGGGACCACGGCGCCCCCCAGGACCAATGGAGAGGCGGACCACGGCGCCCCCCAGGACCAATGGAGAGGGGGACCACGGCGCCCCCCAGGACCAATGGAGAGGCGGACCACGGCGCCCCCCAGGACCAATGGAGAGGGGGACCACGGCGCCCCCCAGGACCAATGGAGAGGGGGACCACGGCGCCCCCCAGGACCAATGGAGAGGGGGACCACGGCGCCCCCCAGGACCAATGGAGAGGCGGACCACGGCGCCCCCCAGGACCAATGGAGAGGCGGACCACGGCGCCCCCCAGGACCAATGGAGAGGCGGACCACGGCGCCCCCCAGGACCAATGGAGAGGGGACCACGGCGCCCCCAGGACCAATGGAGAGGGGACCACGGCGCCCCCAGGACCAACGGAGAGGGGACCACGGCGCCCCCCAGGACCAACGGAGAGGGGACCACGGCGCCCCCAGGACCAACGGAGAGGGGACCACGGCGCCCCCCAGGACCAACGGAGAGGGGGACCACGGCGCCCCCCCCCAGAACCAATGGAGAGGGGACCACGGCGCGCCCCCAGGACCAACGGAGAGGGGACCACGGCGCCCCCCAGGACCAACGGAGAGGGGACCACGGCGCCCCCAGGACCAATAAAGAGGAATTAGGCCTCGGTACCCAAAAGACCAGCAAAAGGGGGTGCTTCGGCGCCTCCAGAACTAGTAAATGGGGGGACATCGGCGGCCCCAGGGCCACCAAAAGTGGGGTGACTTGGTGCCCCCCTGAACCAGTTAAATATGGGGGCCTCGGCGTCTCTAGAACCAATAAAACAGGGTTACCTCGGCTTCCCCAGGGTTAATAAAGGACCAGTAAAAGGGGGGAGGACCTGGGCGTTCCCAGGACCAGTAAAAGGGGAGGGGAGCTCGACACCCCCACGATCAATAAAAGAGGGGCCTCGGGTTTCCCACGACAAATGACAAGGATTTGATTATCGACTTGAGAATGGTCCAGGACGGACCGAAACGTCGTCGTCCCTTCACCTTCTAGTGTGTGGTCTGGTCAACATACTTTAGCCACGTTATTGTGACTCATCGCCTGCACGAGGATTTGATATTTACCCATAATTATATTATGGTAACTGCGTGTCCTGTAATATTTTGTTGAACAAAATATCCTTCGGAAACAAAAGGAAACAGGAACGTACCTTAAGCTGGTGGAATTGTGTCCCGCGATGAGCTAAAAAAGCCTTACCTGTAGAGACAGAAAAAGTAATTATTAATCAACATAAGAATAAAAGTAACTGCAGAAGGCCTATTGGCCCATACGATGCAGCTCCTATTTATAACCGCCCAATCCCACTCATATACATGTCCAACCCACGCTTGAAACAATCAAGGGACCCCACCTCCACCACGTTATGCAGTAACTGGTTCCACAAATCAAAAACCCTGTTACCGAACCAATATTTACCCAGATCTTTCCTAAATCTAAACTTATTCAATTTATACTCATTGTTTCGTGTTCTGTCTTTCGTACTGCGGTCTGAAACAACCACAGATCCAGCAGCATCTGGAACGTTATGCATCATTATGGAGTCAGAGGTCACTCCCTGCAATATCTCAAATCTTACCTTACTGACAGGCTCCAGTATGTTTCTGTGAATAATTCAATTTCTCCCACCCTACCCATCAACATTGGTGTTCCTCAGGGCAGCATACTTGGCCCTCTACTCTTTCTCATCTACATTAATGACCTTCCAAATGCCTCCCAACACCTCAAACCAATTCTATTTGCTGACGACACAACCTTCATTTACTCCAGTCCTGACCCCCTTGCTCTAAATGCCACAGTAAATACCGAGCTAAATAAAGTCCATCTTTGGCTAACTGCCAACAAACTCACCCTTAACATTGACAAAACTTTCTATATTCTGTTTGGCAATAAATCCTCTAATCAAATAAATCTCAAAATAAACAATACCCAAATTTGTAACAAAATAGATGGCAAATTCCTTGGCATTCTCATTGACCACAAGCTGAATTTCCAGGGACACATTCTAAATATATCAAAAAAAGTTTCAAAAACTGTTGACATTCTTTCTAAGAACAGATATTATGTACCTCGCCCTGCCCTGGTGACGCTCGATTACTCTCTCATCTATCCTTATCTCAACTATGGTATTTGTGCTTGGGGTTCTACTACCCAAAATCATTTACGTCCTCTAATTACTCAACACAAAGCTGCTATTAGGACAATATCCAACTCTAGCCCCAGACATCACTCGGTACCCCTACTCAAATCTCTGAATATGTTAGATATTAAGTCACTGCACATCCTCTCATGTGTATTATACATATATAAAACGCTGAACTGTAATGCCAATCCTGATCTTAAAAGCTTCATAGAAAGTTGTAACAGAACCCATGAGCACCACACCAGAAATAAATACAGTTTTGATATTCCAAGAGTACGACTTAATCAAACTAGAAATGCTCTACAAATCAAGGGACCCAGAATGTGGAATGACCTTCCCAACCATGTTAAAGACTGTACCTCTCTCAACCAGTTTAAGATAAAAACTAAGCACTACCTAATAAATTCCCTGTAACCTACCTTACCCCTATATTGTCAACCCATGTCTGTTTCTTAAACAACGCTGTTTGTCGACCTAATTGTATTTGTGCTGCTTTTCCAGCCATGTTCCCCACTTTTTTATTTTTATTTGTTCTCAACATATTTTATACTTTAAACTCAATTAGTATTAAGTTTTAGTCTTTAATGTTTTTCCTGCCCAAAACGCTTTGCGTGATAGTGGCTTTAGGCATTGTATGTACTAGCTCTATATATAAATATCAAATTTTGTAAAATCTCTTGTATGTATGTACCTTACCTGAATAAACATTTATTTATTTATTATTTATTTATAACGTGCGCTCGTCGGTGAAGAAAGTCTGGAAAAGCCACCGCAGTACCGAACTTAACCACAGCCTGATGACTTGAAATTAAATGGACTCCAGACGTCAGCGACGTCAATTCATAAAACGTTGAACAAGGTCGGATCCACCGCGGGGTAATCCACGATTCCAGAATCGTGGACCCAATTGTCAGAGACCACTGCACAGGGTGCAAGGTCTTCCCCATCACTCAAGTAAACACGGGCCCAGGGGTCCCTGCTAACAACACCTCCCTGAACTGCACTCAAGGCTGGGTTACCAACAACTGGAGAGTGCAACAGGCTCCGAGGTTTGACCGCCAGAGGGGGTGAGATCTGCCCCCTCTGGCGGTCAAACCTCGAATCTCATTTATTTATCTATTTATTTA